GAGTTCCAAGTTTTCTTCCTTTGTAGGAAAAAATGGAACAAGTGGTGGGGAAGGATGGAATCAGTAACAAACAAGACATCTTTCTTAGAACCCCATGCTAAGTTGCATGAATAAAGCAGTGTTAATATACGGCACCTACAGGTTTGCTAATAAATTCTCCCAGCACTATTAAACCACCAATTTGGACTTCATTTAACTTGATTTCTATTGTGCCCCTATTTGGGTGCTCAAAACCAGATCTGGAGAGCAATTAAATCATGCCACGTCTCTTATTTGGCTGGTGGATCAACATCTTTGATTAAATGTGCCCATTTCTTTTAGGAATTTGAACTACTGCAGTCTTCCCCAACACATTTGAGGACACCAGGCTGGGAAAGGCTGAGATACTGATATGTGTAAAAAAATACTGTTTGAAACTACCACTAGAGGGTAGTAGAAACCAATTGCTTCTTCCAGTCACTGCACTCAGCTCCTCCCCTTTGTAAATACACAGAACCCGTTAGTTTGGGATGGATCATGGGTATGCTAACCTATATAGAACGTTAGAAAAGACAACTTCATATTGCTATGGATACTATCTTTCAAAGCCTAACCCAGTACTGCAAAATGGTTTAGCAGGGAGAGGGAAGTGCTTCTCTCGGTACCCATTTCTGAATGTGTAAAATTCAAGCAGTCCAGATGTTCTTCCCAATGGAGGAATCCCGCTTATGTTGCAATATCCACCAGGTAGTTTAGAAGCACCTTAAATATATTATGAAGAGTTGTGCTGGCTCAGTGGTTAGAACGCAGTACTGCAGGCTAATTCTGCCGACTGTCAGCAGTTCGATTTTCACTGGCTCAGTGAGGTTGGCTCAGCCTTCCATCCTTCTGAGTTCGGTAAAATGAGGATCCAGATTGTTGGGGGCAACATGCTGACTCTGAAACCACTTAGAGAGGGCTGTAAAGCACTGTGAAGTGGTATATAAGTCTATAGCTATTGCCGCTCAAGGATTTTAACTCATCTGACAATAAAGGTTCAGATTTAATTTGCTACGGTATTAATCTTCGCTGCTGAATTTAATGGGAAAGTTGAGTGCCTGATAAAATGATAGATCTGTGGGTCTCTTCTCTCCTGAACCTTAAAATCCCCCAAGATATGACAATAGTTTTCACATGACATACTGAGTCACAGTTTAAATCATCCCACCACAGCCTTGAATCATGGGGCAAACCCAGCCCAGGTACTCTTAGGTCCTGAGGCTCATGAGAACCCAGAAAATCACAGCTTAATTAACCATGGTTTAACTTATCATGGGAACCCAACATCAAAGTATCTCTTTTTTAAGTCAGTGCAAAGTCCCTTAATCAAAGAGGTCAAAGGGTATATATTTCGGAAAAGGACTGGCTCAACTTACCATCCAATCCTGGAGACTGCTACCCTGCCCGATGATTTACACAAAGCTGCTCTGAGATATGCTACCTTCATATGAAACTTTTTATTACAGACATAGACATAACATAACAGGGTTGGAAGGGACTAATGGTGATCCACTAGGACACCTAGATCCTTCTCACAGTCACGGTTGAACCGGATACTACCTGTTCTATATGACTATGGAGATTCTCAGCCATCCAGGTTATGGTTGTCCCAAAGGTGCTTTTTCAAGAGGCAACTGGACTTTCTGGCTTTTCTCTGAAGACTTTTCGCTTCTCATCCAAGAAGTTTCTTCAGATGGATGAGAAGCTAATGGTCTTCAAAGAAAAACCAGAAAGTCCAGTTGCCTCTTGAAAAAGCACCTTTGGGACGGCCTATTATATATCTTTGCATTGGGTTCTGCATGATAATGCCATGCACAGGCCAGGCTTTCAAGTATGCACACATACTTATTACATACATACACATATACCATAATCCTCCTTTGACTAGTCTCTGGGAGGCCCAGCCAAAGTATCTCTCTGCATACTTGGATCTAATTACCTTTTCTATGCAACAGAACATATTTGGGCTGGGATTTCCAAGAGACTGAATAAAGGCAGTGATGGCATACAGGAATGTCTTACTGTTTTCTGCAAATGGAGGGGAAAGGAGATCAAGGCATTTTGGGGGGATCGGTGTACTCAGAGAAAGGAGATATTTAGATTTTTCTCCTGAATGGTTTTGGCTTTTGCTTAGTACAGAGGACTACCATTAATGACTATCTGCTTGGTCATGCCTTGGGGAAACTCCTCAATCTTGGCAACTTTAAGATGTGTAGAACTTCAAGCCTTGGCTTCTGGGAGTTGAAGTCCACACATCTTAAAGTTTCCAAGGTTGAGAAACGCTGCCCTAAACACACTTTTAGGCATTCTTCTTTCTCCTCCCTGGTTCTGTTGGGCTCTCTGAAAAAGAGGGAAGAAAAGAGAACATCAAGATGTGGAGACTCTAGAAAGAGTGCAGAGAAGAGCAACAAAGATTATTCAGGGACTGGAAGCTAAAACATATGAAGAACGGTTGCAGGAACTGGGTACTGGGTACGTCTAGTTTAATGAAAAGAAGGATTAGGGGAGATATGATAGCAGTGTTCCAATATCTCAGGAGTTGCCACAAAGAAGAGGAAGTCGAGCTATTCTCCAAAGCACCTGAGGGCAGGACAAGAAGCAATGGGTGGAAACTAATCAAGGAGAGAAGCAACCTAGAACTAAGGAGAAATTTCCTGACAGTTAGAACAATTAATCAGTGGAACAATTTGCCTCCAGAAGTTGTGAATGCTCCAACACTGGAAGTTTTTAAGAAGATGTTGGATAACCATTTGTCTGAAGTGGTGTAGGGTTTCCTGCCTAGGCAGGGGGTTGGACTAGAAGACCTCCAAAGTCCCTTCCAACCCTGTTATTCTATTTCTAAAAGTCAGGCAGACTAGAAACTGTTGATGCTACTTCAGCCAAAGCTTTCAATT